GAGGTGCTAATCCATGCTAGAAAATGTTTAATTTATCTTTTCCGGAAACAGGAGTCATGTTTTCTTCCCAGATTCCTTCCTCTTAGGGAAATCCCTCTGTCAGCTTTCTTCATTCCGGAGGAACCTTTGCTCAATATTTCCACTATGTCAACAAGCAATAACCACGTCAGTGCCACACATACAGTCAGACCCAGTGAGATAAAAAGTCAGCAATGAAATGCGGACTTTGTATTAAATCTTAGTGGCTGTAGCTATGGATACCAAGGTTCGCTAGCAAGTGGGGGGAATTTAATTTTTTAAAATGATACTTTTGTTGAATATTTTCCTCTGTTATGCTGTAGTCTAAGAACTGAATCACTGTCTCTATAAACACAAAGCCATGGTTTCTGTTTATAAATAGACTGATAGACAGATTGACAGAATTTTAGTGTTCCAGCAGCAGTACAGCACCAAGACAACAGTACACAAATAGATAAAATGCAATAAGTACAATAAAATACAAACATGGGTAGAAGCACAGTTTTAATGAGTATGGGAAACCATTCCATCTACTGTATACTCTTTGAATTTACTTATGACTAAAATAACAGCACTGTATCTCAGGGGTAATTTTTAAAAAATGAACAGCCATTTCCTCAGCAGAACATGATTCAGTTTGATGTATTTTTCTCCGTTCATTCTTTCAGAATGACACATCTAAAAAAAAAACACACACCACTAGGACATGAGTAAAAGTGACTAAAACGGACGAAATTTGAAATAAAATTTGAAATGATTTTTTTTTTTTTTTTGGAGATCAAGTGTCACAAATGAGGTTTCGTTGATATGTCTACTAATAGAGACAGTGCCATCTCTTGGCATTGCGGGGTGTTACAGGTTCTCAATAGAGCTTCAATTCGCAGGGTGTGGTGTTGGGTGGGGGGGTTGAGAACCACTGAAATAGGTGGTCGTGTAAGGCGCCACCTGCTGGAGACTCAGCTGTGCTCTGTCACCAACACCAAAATGAACAAATACAGAAAAGTAAAATAAATATTAGCTGCCACTTGGACTTTTGTACTGTTAGAACATAGCACCTGTTTATTTATATCTAATTTAATGTATGACAGCTTGCGCTTAAAATACTATCTCAACACCCAGCATGTGTTATGGAGGTTAAGCGGATGAAAATGGATGGATGGATGGCATTATACTTCTGCCTTTTCCCGGCAATTCCCACTTTTCCCCAATAGATAGCATAGAAAATAATAATTTTTAAAAAAGCATTTTAGCCTTGTAGCCTTTATGCATGACTTTTACATTTTTTACGCAAATCAAAACGTTTGCCCACCCCTGCTCTATAAGCTACCATCAAGATGCAAAGTAAGAAAGGAAGGAAAAGGAAAGTGAACTACTTGTCATTGTGACACGGCAGACCACTGCACACAACGAAATATGACCGCTGTTTTTAAGCCAACACCAAAGTGAACAGCGGGCAGCTTTAAGCACCAAGGGAGCAGTGTGTGGGGACAGTGACATGTTCAGAGCATCTCAGTGGTAACTTGGCAGTTAGTGGACTCGAACCTAAAGCCTTCCAGACCCAAATCTGCTTCCTTAACCACTAAGCCACCACTTTTTGAAGAAAAGGGTTAAAATTTTACTTCTGTATATTTTTCTTGACATTTTTCTCTATTAATAAAATGTCATCTTTTGGATTAGTAACAAATTAATCAGGTGTAAAACACAAACATATACCTGCTGTATTTGTTTTTTTGTTTCAGTAACATACAGAAGAAAAAGAAATCTGTTGAGTTTAGGAATGTTGATTTATGTAGACTGAGTCTATCTTGAATCACTTTTGTCTTTCGTTCCTTTTTTATCACAGTTTTTACACTAGATGCCTTTCCTGATGAAACCCAACCTGGGATTTAGGTCTAGGTCTTATGAAACTGAGGGCTCTCTGGTGGCGGGCTCCTTCTACTGCACCACTGTAGCCATTCTGCTTCATCTCAATTAATCATGATAACTTATACTTAAATAATAATGTAATAATTAAATAATCCACAGCTACCATTAGATTAAACATGTTTTAAGATATTAGAAAAAATCCAGAACATGTTTCATTTTGAATTATTCGTAATTATTATTTATATTGATTAATGTTAACTAGACGTTTATTTTTTAGGATGCATGCTCGATCAAAAACAAACATTAAATGTATGTCCAACAACATAACATACACTATGTCCATTATTTTTAGGGTGGTGATGTGCAAGGTAGGTGGGGGCATTAAAATTATCTCCAGAGACCAAAATGGCTAGAGCTGACCCTAAACGAATATATTGAAGAAAGAGGTTGGTTGGAGATAGTCATGTTAAAAAAGAAAACTGTCTAAACATTAACATGTGTTTATCTACTAGCCTGTATGCAGCACATTACCACTCTCAAATCTCGAGTCACCCCTCCCTGAATCGTGGTGGAGGGTCCGAATGACCCTAGGAGCTATGTTGTCGGGGGCTTAACGCCCCTGGTAGGGTCTCCCAAGGCAAACAGGTCCTAGGCGACGGATCAGACAAATAGCGGTTCAACGCCCACGTGGGCAGCGACAGTGACACCTGGAGGGGCGTGATTGGGAAGAACGGTCTCCCTCCCCGATCTAAATCCGAGTGGTGTTTTGTTATTGGACTTCTGTGCTAGTCACAGTTTGTCCATAACAAACACCATGTTCAAACATAAGGGTGTCCATCAGTGCACTTGGCACCACATTGAGTCTGAGTGGACTATGTTCTCCATTTCCATTGTTGGCGCGGCTGTCCGAAGCTGCGGCCATAAGGTCTCCGGTGCCTGTCGCG